CAGACGTGTGCTCTTCCGATCTCCCCAAAACCCCAAAACCCCATCAAGCATTGATAGCCTTAATTAAATGGTAAAAGGAATAGAGAAAAGAAGAAAGTTAAATGATGTTAACAAAATGAAAGTTAGGATAATATTTTGATGAGTTATCTCTCACTGGAGATAAGTGCAGTCCTTGCCTTATTTAGTGTGATGGAATTTAGATTGGTCGTAATCTTTGACTTTCTTCTTTAGAACATCTGAAGCATGCTAGAAGAGTGAATCAGCAAGCTCTGGTGTTCTGGAAAGAATCCAAGCGTATTCAAGTTTACCTTAGTCAGGAATATCAAGGCAAGAATAAACTAGAGAGTAGGATTCGTAGTCAGTGTCAACAACTCTGTAATCACCAGCTGGGACATAAGGAGGGTTATCAAAGAATCTAACGCTGCAGTGTGCACCATTACAGGTACCATTGGCAAACTTTGACTCAACTTAGCCGATGTCTGTGTTAAATTAAGAGTTGTGGACAGAGAGAACTCCATCTGAATAGAGTTAATAGTTGGCCTCTTGGCATTCGAACTTTTCAAATCTTGAGGCAATTGGGTCTCTCACGATTTCAAACCAGACTCCAGTGTATCTAGTAGCATCGAATTTATCTTGGAGCTATATTTCCTCGCATTTACCTGCACGGAATTATGCAGAGGAGACTCCGAGTAGAGCAAGGGTAGCTGAGATATATAGGATTTACTTTTACATGCTATGTTTAATTATTATTAATTATTATCATCGAATCTATTTATATAGATTTTTTCTAGTGCATTCTATACTCTACAAAATGTTAAAGATTCATTCCTTTGTCAAAATCTGTACCCATAATTTGGATAATTTAATCTATTATTAGTTTTTCTTCATTATTTTTCATCTTTATATTTAGTTTAAATTAGTAAGATCCATAAATCAAGGATCTAATATATGATAAAGAAAGTATCCTGCTCAACTTTTCTCAATATTTTTTCAACCATCTTTAATTACAGTGATGAAATTGTCTGGCTTAGTTTTAAATATCACTCCGATAAGATGTTATTAAAACATCTAAAATAACAGATATAAGCCTTGATCTGCTAATTTTTTAGAATTATTGGAATCTGAGATTCGAATTCTTTGCTCAAGATAATATTCAAATCTTGATTCAGCTCCTATGTTTGTTGTTAAACTTTAAAAGATTATTAAATTTTAATAATATCAGAGAGTATATCTAGAAATCAGATTATTTATGGCTTCCTATTTAGATTTATTGAATTGAGATGCCTCAGAATGCACCTTGAATTATCAATCAACATCACAGTTTAATTAAACAGATGGACCTAATGAAATATTTCACGCAACTTTTTGCTATTAGGTCAAGCACTAAACAGATTCGAACTCACCTAATGAAGAACTATTCCGACAGAGACTACTTCCCTATCTCCTTAGTGGAGTTCCAGCACTTAGAGCAGGCGAATTTTTGACCACTCCTAGCCAATTTATCTAACCAGGTCTTTGTTCGATTCAGTAGCCTAGATTTTCTACAGAGCAGCCGAATCTTGTTCTAAAGCAGGCCATGTTTTTACTACATCCTGTTGCTAAGCACTCAAAGCAGAGTAGATTGGAAGTTAAAATTTAAGAATTCCATGCCAAATATATCCAGCCAGCCCTTCCAGCCTTTAATGACCGGAGATTAAGAATGTGAATACAGTTACAAACTACTCGTTAATAGATAGGACTATTAACTTTCTTAGTTTAATTTCTAATATATAGAAAACTTACACTCTCCTAAAACTAAGTATAATAATAATCTTGGGGTTTTGGGGTTTTGGGGAGATCGGAAG